GGACCACTTGACTTATGACTGTTCATAACTAGTGTTTCATAAATGATGTTAAAATGTCAATTGACAGATTTCAAGTTTTGGTATTTGTCAGTTTTATACTAAAAAGCCAACTTTTAAGAAATGATTATTAATAGCTTGAATGGTTCTTTATGTGATTTATTCTAGCCAACAAGGAACAGCTTGCATGGAATTGAGATAAACATTTTTTGAGGCTTAAATAATGACAAAAACTATATATATGTAGATTTTGTGTTCAATATGTTGCTGACTTCATAACGTCCATATTGATTGAGGTAATGTGCACAGCTTGCATATTTTACATCGGTATCACAACATTCTTTAGGAATGATCTTATAGATTTTTTAGGATAAGTTTTGTGACTGGACATCTTAAGTCTTGACATGCATTGTGTGTTTTACAATATATTACAAAACTCCTAGGAATGTTACATAGAATTACACTGATAAGTCAATGACTGGTCATTATTTAATAGTGATAAATTTGAAGCCCAAGAAATTTGATAGTATATAACTTCGGACAGGTGGATGGTTGTAATGGACAATAAAACTAAATGACCTAACATTTGTTCAAATTTTCTTGTCACCAAGATTCATTTTCTTTTATTTACATCAAGAGTTTGTATCTGAGGTCTGAAATGAAATGACGGATAATCTAGATACAACTGATGGTTCTGTGTGATAAAAGACACTCAAAGGACATCTTAAGAATATTTTCTGTGGAGTATATTGATTTGTTATGTGCTAGATATTGACCTTTTTGCAGTGTATTTGAACCAGTGTTACAGTGAAGTTATTTTGTAAAATAATTTAAAGGACTAATTGTTATTATCTCCGTGAATTATATTTTAAGACAATTTTTTTTTATCTAACCGAATGCGACATCTACACAGAAATGTGGTATTAGTGGTCAGTATACTAGGTATATATAACTTAAATGGATTTTGACTTGTTTTGGACAATGTTTAGACAATAGTTGTGACTCTATTTACTAAGAAGCCCAGGTATCTGCCTGGGTGATAATGCAAGGACAATAATTCTATGGATTTTGTGGATTATGATGATTATTACTCTGGGAACACTTGTGATGGGTAAGTGATCAAGTAAGAGGAATATAATGGAATAACATATGTAATACCAATCACTTAAATCAGGTTTTAATGTTAGATTTTCAATTTAAGAACAGTATTGAACAATTTATTAGTCATCTATAAAGTAATTGTAAAACTTGAATGTAATATTACATGTGACTGAATATGGACATCAAGTAATGTAAAATGTAGTTTACCTTTAAACAAACACTAAAAGGGAGTCCACACGGGCAGTTTAATGACAAGGACAAATATTAAAGGGGCATTAGCAGTCAAATTCATGTTCAACAATTTTACCCAAAGTCTCATATTTGACATATATAACATACTAGAGCATATATCTAAATTACTCCAAAAGAAACAATAAACAATGCATGGACTCCTTATAGTGTATCAGCATTTCGTGCATATTTAGACTAGACATCATGTAATAATTTATTGAGATGACCTCCAAAGGCTGTGGATGGTCATATAACCTGATATAAATATAAATGGACTGGCAAATCCGTGCAATGGTATAATGATGATTTTTCTAGGTCTGTTTAATTTCTTGTAATAGGTTAAAAAATATATGTATCCTGTTTAAGAATGATTTTTTGTTGGCCATATCAGTCAACAAAATGGTCAGTTCTGATGTCTCCTTTGTTTCATATTTCAATGTTGACAATTTTTTAATGAATGTGTATGCTGACCACATGCTTAACACATGCAAAACCCATCTCCACTAAAGGTTAGATAAAAGGTTTTATAAATATGGATTCAATTGAATTGAATTATCAACAAGCCAATAACACATCTGCAATTTTTTTTTAGCATATTTTTGACGAAGTTTAACCAAACTCACTGTTAATAGCGAAACCTTATTTCTGTATTCTTTTTGAAACCATAAAAATCATATTTAGAAATTTTGAAATCCACATACAAACAGAAGAAGTTATTTTATATCATTTGATGTAATAGATATTCAAAATTAATCAATCACTTCCAGCTGCTAGTCCATGGAAAATTATCTATTATATCAAACAGGTTCTGTTGTTACAAATATGAGAGTTACCTTTCTTACATAAAATGTTGCCTGTGTGATCTTGGTTACCTTTCTTACATAAAATGTTCCCTGTGTGATCTTGGCTACCTTTCTTACATAAAATGTTCCCTGTGTGATCTTGGCTAGCAGAAAGTTTCTGCTGTTGATTCAGTCATATCATGAGTTAACTTTTAATTGGGTAGGTGTTGCTCAATCTTTTGTTTAGTTTTCTAAGCTTTGTTTTGTGAAAGGTTTTTTCTTTTCATCTTTTTCTCTTGGTCATATTCTTATTGGTTCTTCAACTCATTATTGCCTGGTGAGCCTGTAGTATCTTCTTCGTTTTTTTGTTTTTGACAGTGGGATAGTTGGTTAGAGTCCATTTGAGTAAAGCTTTTGTAACATATGTATATACTGTAAATTCAGAAATTATTGCGTGCATTTATTATTGCAATTTTGTCATTTTAAACTAAAATGCGATTTTAATTTTTGCGATATTGAGAAAAAATTCTGTTTAATTCATATAAAAAATTTCAAAATGCGAGTTTAAATTATTGCCATTATAACCCTGTCGCATTTTTTCGCAATAATAAAAACATCGCAATAATTTCTGAATTTACAGTTATCTAAAAATAAGGAGATGTGGTATGATTGCCAATGAGACAACTATCCACCAAAGTTCAAATGAAGTCACTCACTCCAGGATGTAAACAAATTTATAAATATGGTATATAAGGACTAAAAGCCCAAACTATTCTTAAGTTTCCCACTGTTCAATTATTGTTTTAATGCTTATTAAAAAAGATATTTAGTAGAAATGTGTAGGGTTATAGCAACATATATGCTCAATTAACATATCTGAAGAATACTTTTTAAAATTCATTTAAGTATAGTGAACCTTAAAATGTTATGCAAAGGAATTTAATCTTGTATCTGATTATATGGTCACATATTGCATAAACTATGTAAAGTAATACAAGAATCTGTTTATTCAGAATATTTTATTTGAAAAAAAAATGTATTCAGTAGCCTGGGAATATGATGAATTAGACAAAAAGCACATTAAAAAGAAGTAGCAAGTTTGAATGAAGTGAATGAAAGGTTATCATTTAACATTACGTCCATCCTTAGGATATATAGTACACTGAAGTAATACAACTACCTGCTCTGTCAACCTTGCATGTGTAGTTGATACGAGGTGTTTTGGCAAATGATGTGGTTTGAAGATTAATGTTTCATGGCCTGAGGTACTTCATTTGTTACAGAATACACTATTCTTTTTATGGTCTCCACCCAATTTAACTGAGATTTAAATTGTTTATTTATGTACATATATATAAAGCAAATATGTCATTGACAATAATTATAAGTAAATAGGTTCTTGAATCAACATGACTGCATTTTTTTTAAAATTAGGAAATGAAACAAAGAATATATATCTGTAAGGAAAAGACTGTAAACAAAGATAACATTTGAATCTGTTGCAGGAGTTTAACTCATGTGATATGATTATGTCAATGGAATTTCTAAAGAGAGAGAGAGTAGTGTATTGAAAATATATAAGTGTGAATAGATACAGACTTTAGTTGATGGGTAGTTTGTGTTGCAATTTTAGTTGCTGATCACAGAATTTTAGAAATTTTCTTTCAAATTTTAACAAATATCTTGATATTAACTTGAAAACTATATTATTTTAGGTTTCAGCACATAATTTTTATGCCCCACCTAGGGGCATTATGTTTTTTAGTCTGTGCGTCCGTCCATCCGTCCGTCCGTCCGTCTGTCCCGCTTCAGGTTAAAGTTTTTGGTCAAGGTAGTTTTTGATGAAGTTGAAGTCCAATCAACATGAAACTTAGTACACATGTTCCCTATCATATGATCTTTCTAATTTTAATGCCAAATTAGAGTTTTTACCCCAATTTCACGGTCCACTGAACATAGAAAATGATAATGCGAGTGGGGCATCCATGTACTATGGACACATTCTTGTTATAAAATGCTCTTGATGATTTTAAAATACACAAAAAAAAAGAATTAAAATGGATGAACACATGTATTTTTAGTCAGTAGGGGATCCAGAACTTTCATTTGGTAGATGTAGGGGCCCTAGCGAAAATTAGGTGGGCCCAACAGTCAAAAATTAAAAAATTGTACTATAAGAACACAAATGTTCAGGCTTAAAAAGAAGGGGGGGGGGGCAGGATTGCTTAGACCTTCTCCTTCTCTCTAGATCTGCCTATGAGTTTTGGTTTTCAGGTCAGATAAATGAAAGGAGAAAGGGGTATATGTCAGTTACTGTAAATTCAGAGTTTATTACATGCATTTATTATTGCAATATAGTAAGAGACGACAAAAATGTGAAATTGATTATTGTGATTTCAGAAAAAAATCTGCATACAGATATATGTTTCAGATATCAGAATGCGAGTACTTATCATTGCAATACTGACCCAGTTGCATTATTCACATTAATAAACACCTCACAATAATTTCTGAATTTACAGTAGTTCAAAACCTACCAATACAAAAAAAAAACTATGAAAGACGTTTAAAGTGCTATTTCTGATGTATTTATATGAAATAGAGATATAGAGGTTCTGTAAGTTTTAGTTAAGGTCATTGAATTTAATCCTAACTATTCTGTAAAAGTAGTTACAAGATAAGAATACATTATATTTAAACATTAATGGATGTTTATTGATGTCGTATATATTGAGGTTTTCAGTTTACATAGAGATTGTTGGAAATGTGGAAAACAAGATTTCTTAATCTGATATTAGTTTAAATCAGCACAACAAAAATCTTAAAAAACCATTTAATTTAACAAAATTTCTTCAGCTCAAGGTAATTGTTTACGTATTTCCATTGTAGAATAGAGAAAGAGTATACAGCATTGAAGAGTAAAGAAAATGAGGACCAGATAGAGTTGAGGGTAAGATAGATTTTATACAGGATGAGGATCAAAGAAGATGTATAATAAGTGACAGCCACATTTTACATGAGGCATGAAAGTTTTTTTAGATAAAAAATGTGCTGTCACTTACTTTCTTATCACTACAAACTTGAGCCGATCTGAATTTATTCATTTATTTACAACTTATAAAAAAGAAACTATGTTACCAGACCAGATTCCAGATCCTAAATTGTCTAAATATAAGTAATCTTGAAAAAAATAAGTTTTTATAAACTTGTCCAAGACCAGACATATTATTGTATACCAATGTCGGTCCATTCTTCTTTCCATTGGTTCGTCAGTCTGTCCATCAACACTTTGTACAATAACTCAAAAAAAATTTTAAGCCAATTCTCATGTAATTCTTACACAACATTTGGATTGATGAAAGAAAGCTCCCTTTCCAATTAAAAAAAGTTAACTTTGTTGTTTTGCTTGGATTTAATTAATACAAACTTAAAACTGTTGGGATGGGTGAATGTAGCTTGCTTTTATTATGATTTTCAAAATGTTCTGGTTTGTCATTCCAGTCATATTTAACACAACATTTATAGGCCTAAGGGTATCCTCATGCATGTTTTTCTACAGGGCCATTTTATTTGCCTCTAATAAAATGCTTTCTAGATATCCCTTTTTAGCTCACCTGGCCCGAAGGGCCAAGTGAGCTTTTCTCATCACTTGGCGTCCGTCGTCCGGCGTCGTCCGTCGTCGGCGTTAACTTTTTACATTTTGAACTTCTTCTAGAGAACCACTGAATGGAATGAAACCAAACATGGCATGAATGTTCCTTATGAGGTGCTGACCAAGTGTTGTTACTTTGTAGCCGATCCATCATCCAAGATGGCCGCCAGCGGGGGACTTAGTTTAACATAGGACCCTATGGGAAATGCATACAAATGACTTCTTTTAGAGAACCACTGAATGGAATAAAACCAAACATGGCATGAATGTTCCTTATGAGGTGCTGACCAAGTGTTGTTACTTTGTAGCCGATCCATCATCCAAGATGGCCGCCAGCGGGGGACTTAGTTTAACATAGGACCCTATGGGAAATGCATACAAATGACTTCTTTTAGAGAACCACTGAATGGAATAAAACCAAACATGGCATGAATGTTCCTTATGAGGTGTTGACCATGTGTTGTTACTTTGTAGCTGATCCATCATCCAAGATGGCCACCATCGGGGAACTTAGTTTAACATAGGACCCTATGGGAAATACATACAAATGTCTTCTTTTAGAGAACCACTGAATGGAATAAAACCAAACATGGCATGAATGTTCCTTATGAGGTGCTGACCAAGTGTTGTTACTTTGTAGCCGATCCATCATCCAAGATGGCCGCCAGCGGGGGACTTAGTTTAACATAGGACCCTATGGGAAATACATAAAAATGTCTTCTTTTAGAGAACCACTGAATGGAATGGAACCAAACATGGCATGAATGTTCCGTATGAGATGCTGACCAAGTGTTGTTACTTTGCAGTCGGTCCATCATCCAAGATGGCCGCCAGCGGGGGATTTAGTTTAACATAGGACCCTATGGGAAATACATACAAATGTCTTCTTTTAGAGAACCACTGAATGGAATGAAACCAAACATGGCATGAATGTTCCTTATGAGGTTCTGACCAAGTGTTGTTACTTTGTAGCTGATCCATCATCCAAGATGGCCGCCAGCGGGGGACTTAGTTGAACATAGGACCCTATGGGAAATACATACAAATGTCTTCTTTTAGAGAACCAATAAATGGAATGGAACCAAACATGGCATGAATGTTCCTTATGAGATGTTGACCAAGTGTTGTTACTTTGCAGCCGATCCATCATCCAAGATGGCCGACAGCGGGGGACTTAGTTTAACATAGGACCCTATGGGAAATACATACAATTGTCTTCTTTTAGAGAACCACTGAATGGAATTGAACCAAACATGGCATGAATGTTCCTTATGAGTTGCTGACCAAGTGTTGTTACTTTGCAGTCGATCCATCATCCAAGATGGCCGCTAGGGGGGGGGGGCTAAGTTTAACATAGGACCCTATGGGAAATACATACAAATGTCTTCTTTTAGAGTACCACTGAATGGAATGAAACCAAACATGGCATGAATGTTCCTTATGAAGTGCTGACCAAGTGTTGCTACTTTGTTGCCGATTTACTGTTCAAGATGGCCACCAGGATATTTTATTAAATAACGGGACCAATATTAATCAAAATTTGGCCTCAATCATTATTTGGGTATCTGTTATGATTTTTATCTATCTTTACATGATTTCTAAAACCAAAGTAGAGTCAGGTGAGCGACACAGGCTCTTGAGAGCCTCTAGTTATTTTTGCAACAATTTCAATATGCCCAATGAGGGCATATCATTCATTCTTGACAACTTCTAATTACATATGAATTAATGGAACTTTGAGGTATGCATCAAGGAGACAGCAACCCTAATACACAAAATACCAAAAGATATATATATAAAGTTCATACAAGTCATTATATGGTCTTGATAATAGACAACTGTCAAGCAAAATGTCAGTTCTGCTAACAAATGAACCTATAAAAGTGGTGAATGAATTAAAACTGCAATCATCAAAGATCTTCTTCCCTCAATACAAAATAAAATCATATAAAACTACAAATAATCACTGATGAGTTTCATGACAAAAACATAAACATGTGACAGGATAACTGGTTCAACTAGTTTATGAGATCTCAACCCTCCCCTTCAACTAGTGGGTACTAAAAGATATATGAAAGAAATTTCAATAAAAAATATTTAGAATCCCTCTTATGCTGGTATAATAGGCAACCAAAAACAAAGCTTTAAGCAAAAATAAGTCTTTTTAGCCAAAAAGAAAGATTTAGAGGACAGTTTCTACACTTACTACCTTTATACATGATATTACCTTAAAAAGAAGAGTGTTTGTTCTCATTCTTTGACATGGAAGATTAATGAATATTTTTCTTTGTAGAGATTAAGGACAGAAAACAGATTACTTAGACAGAGGATAGATAATTTAGAAAAGGTCAGTCATCACAGATATTTTTTTTCCAAGATTCAATACTTTTTTTTATATTTCAACATATATTGATTTTCCCAAATTAAATTGATTTTAAATGTTTTTATATGTATATTTTTATATGGAAGAATTGTAAATCATTGGATGATATTTCACCTGAAAAGGAATTGACAAAGTTAACACATTTTTGATATACCTTTATTGACATTTTATTTCCAGGAATCTGCATCTTTAGCAGACAGGCTGATACAGTATCAATTGACAAGAGCCCAAGAGGCAGAGGAAACATATGCTCTGAAAAATGTTCTTTCTACAATCAAAAAGGAGTTAGCTGAGTCACAGAAGAAGCTATCTGTAGCAAATAATCTTATAGGAGATATAAAACAAAGGGTTAGTCTCCAAGTTTGTGTAAATCTAATTTTTACAGAATATTACCAGTGGAACAGGGCTTATCATCAGGGACAGAATACTTCCTTTTTCTTCACATTTTTCTTGATCTGGATGGTCATTTTAAACAATTAAATTTGTGCAAAAAAGACATTTTTGGCTAATTTATAATATCTAATGAAAGAAGAAATAATTAATATGTCAATGACTTTCCTCTGAAAACTTATTAGAATTGAAGTATCCAGAAGTGTTCTTTCGAAGTAGTTTTAGACCAAATCAGGGATAGTTCAATTCTGTTTTTTTTTTTAAATCAGAAGTATATTTATGGTTTTTTATAAAAATATTTTTATTGTTGTTTCATTTGACTATTTTTTTGGCTGGAAAAGTATCACTTTTCTCTTAAAATGGATTTTTGATCATTTTGATGATATGTCTGTGGAAATTTGATTTGAAAACTCAGATTTGGAGAAAGAAAGCTGATTTTTTTAGGAAGATGGGGATTGACAACTTTTATCCCCCTGTTCAGCCTATACCATCCACTTTGATACAGAATTATTTTTCATATCTGTGTAACAAATACATTAGATATGAGCCTTTTCCATCTATGAGGCCCTGGTATATTGTACATATACTATAATTCCTTTTGAGGACATTATAATTCATTGACATATGATACAGGTTCATATCCTAGCTTTACTAAACAGCTGTTCAATCACACAATTATACAAGAATTAGTTCAAGAATTTCATCAATGCAAGTACACAGATTTTCACTCATATGATATTCAGTAAAAGACATTAAAAAATGGGTCTAAGATACAGTTACAGTTGTCATCATATTTGTGACCAGTGTTTTGTTTCAATATTACATATAGATCAAATTTTGATCTATATGTTATGAAACTACAGATGTGCAATTATAATGAAGAGAAAATAACTCCAATTCAAAACATATCATTTTGATTGATATAGGGGAGCATTTGTCAGTTTTTATTGACTTCCCCTTTTTGAATTTACCTTGGAGTTTGGTATTTTGGTTCAAACATATTTTACCTTGATGTGTTTCATTCCTAATTACAATTCAATGTTTAATTTAAGTTCACATTGAAAAATGAAAACAAGCTTTACCCCTTACTGCTCACGAGCACTTTGATTTCAGTAATTCATGTGATTATAATGGTATGGTAAAAGAGTCACAAATACTTACTGACAGTTAACAGTATAATATTTCATATCAAATTAAAAGTAGTTTTTGTTGGTACATTATATTTTCAAAATCTCATTTAAAATTCCATTTTTTAGTATCTTCATTTTATTTGTTTGATATGATATTGGTGAGAAAGTTCTTTATGATTCTATTATACATCAAGCTATGGTTAATTTCAGACATCTAGTATAAATTCAGCCTCAGCATTAGACGATGATGAAGCACAGACTGTGATACAAAATCTACAAGAAGAATTAATAGTTATTAGACTTAAAGATGCAGATACAGATTCTCTTGTAAAAGAACTACGATCAAAGATTAAGGAGCTAGAAGATGTGAGTACACAAAATAAAATATTAATATAAAACATTTATTTTATTTACCACAAAATTTATTATGCCTTTGTAAATATAACAGTAATTTTCCACACATAATTATATTATTAAAATTGAAGAAGATGTTTTAATGCCCCTCGCCGTAGCGGAGGGTGTGTTAAGTTTTACCCTTGTCCGTCCGTCCGTACGTCCCGAAATTGGTTTCCGTTCTCTAACTTAAGTTTGTCTCAACCAAATGTTATGAAACTTATACACATTGCTTATTACTACAAAACACAGATCAAGTTTGAATTTTGGTGGCGTCACTTTTACCATTCTGGAGATATGCCCTTTACAAATGGAAAAATTACTGAATTTTACGTTTCCGTTCTCTAACTTAAGTTTGCCTCAACCAAATGTTATGAAACTTATACACAATGCTTATTACCACAAAACACAGATCAAGTTTGAATTTTGGTGGCGTCACTTTTACCATTCTAGAGTTATGCCCCTTTACAAATGGATAAATTGCTGAATTTTTCTTTTCCATTCTCTAACTTTAGTTTGCCTCAACTAAACGTTATGAATCTTATACACAATGTTTATTACCACAATACACAGATCAAGTTTGAATTTTGGTAGCGTCACTTTTACTGTTCTTGAGTTATGTCCCTTTATAATGTTGTATACAAGCGGGAGCATCATCTGTGTCCCATGGACACATACCCCATTTATTTTTTTATGTTTCACATAGCCATCTATTTTTTTATTTCAGACAAATGTACAGTTACAGAGAGCCCCTAGTAATGACATACAGAACTTACAAGAAGAGTTGATAGCTGTTAAGTTACGAGAAGCTGAGGCCAATCTGGGACTTAAAGAAATGAGACAAACTGTACATGAACTGGAGAGTATGTGGGAGGTTAGTTCTACTGATGTGTGGAAAACCCTGTACATTAAAAAAAAAATGGATAAGTTACATTGATTGATTTTTGGTTGCTTAACTTCCAGTGACAAATATTTTATTCATATCTTACTATGCAGTATGGGTTTTGATAATTGTTGAAGGCTGTATGGTGACCTGTAGTCATTTGCCGTTAACTTCTACATCATGTTCAGGATGATAATAATTTATAGATATTTGTTGTAAAATAATAGCATTCTCAATATTGAAATAATTTGTTTATTGAGCAAAGTTGTGTTTAAGAATAACATTACAGTTTCCAAATGTGTAATAAATAAAAGGCTTTAAACTCCTTTATATCATAAGCTTATGAGACCAAGTGATACTTGAAATGGTGAAGGCTAGAAATTTTTTACAGTAATTTTTATACCACCGCAAAAAGATTTTGGGGTCGTATAATGCTGTCACGTAGTCGTCCGAAGACATTTGGTTTCCGGACAATAACTTAGTTTATGTGTATGGATCTCTATGAAATTTTATGAAAAAGGTTCAATACCACAAAAGGAAGGTTGGGATTGTTTTTGGGGGTGATGGTCCCAACCGTTTAGGAATTAGAGGCCCAAAAGGGGCCCAAAACAAGCATTTTTCTAGTTTCAGGACAATAACTTGTGTATAAGTATTGTGATTGCTCTGAAATTGTACCACAAGGTTCAATACCACAAGTAGAAGGTTGGGATTCATTTTGGGGGTAGTTGCCCAAACCGTTCAGGAATTGGGGGCAAAAAAGGATCTAAAACAAGCATTTTTTTAGGCAATAACTTGTGTTTAAGTGTATTGATTTTTCTTAAATTGTACCACATTTTACAAAAAGAAAATTTCTTCAAATGTTTTTTTTTTTGGGGGGGGGGGGATTAAAAAAATGAGGGGGGGGGGGGGCAATTTTTTTCCCTCATGATTTAAGAAATTAAAAAGATTTCTTCAAGTAGTATTTTTTTTTGGAAAAGGAGGGAGGGGGGGGGGGGTAAAACTTTTTTTTAGGCGAAGCAGTTTATTATACATTTTGGTTACTGACAGAAATTTCTGATCACAACAGGGAAATATTTTCATTCCTCTAAAAAATGAAATCAAATCAAATCTTCAAAAAAACACTTTGTAAGACACCTTTGATTGATCTTAAAACACTGTATTACCAGATGTTTAGTACATTATGTAAGATCATACCATTAAAATAAGAATATTCCCAATCAGCGGTAGATTCTTCTAATGTAATAGATATATTGTCTGTATTATCATATTTCATATTATTTTAAGTACAACTGTACCATTAACATCTGTCATTTAGTCATCCGAAAAAAGTAGATTTTTTGCTTACTGATGTCTATTTTAGTTTAGCAGCTGTTTAATTACTGGTATTTAACACCTTACGATAGCATGACTGATTCAGGTATAACATTAATGGTATATGTAATATGAAATGCATTTTATTTCAGACTTTTAAAGTTGAGTCAACAGCAGACTCACCAACATCTTCTCCAAAAGACAAAAATCACAAACAGGAAGTTAAACAGCTACAAGAAGATGTAATGACAATTAAAGTCCGTGAGGCTAATTGTATGTCTGACTTAAAGGATACAAAACAAAAGTACATGGAACTTGAGACACAGAATCATATATGTACAAACCAAATTCGTAGAATGGATGAGGAAAATAAACTCTTGAAGGCAAAATATGAAGAAGGTCTGGAGAGAGAGAAGAAATTAGATGGTCATATAAAGGAACATATCAGGAAGATAGATGATATGCAATCTCAGGTTTGTCCAATAACATGGTTTGATTTGAGTGGGGTAATGATAGAAAAGTAAATTCCACTTTACATCTGAAAATTGTTTTGGCTTCCTAGAAAAACAAAACAATATATAAGCTTGTTGACTAATAGGTTTGTAAGCTTTTAATATTAAAAAGATTTTTATTTGAAGAATTAAAGAAAATCAAAACAATTTTTATACGACCGCAAAAATTAAAAATTTTTTGGTCGTATATTGGTATGACGTTGGCGTCGTCGTCGTCGTCGTCGTCTGGCGTCGTCCGGCGTCGTCCGAAGACACATTGGTTTTCGCACTCTAACTTTAGTTTAAGTGAATGGATCTCCATGAAATTTTACCATAAGGTTCTATACCACGAAAGGAAGGTTGGGAATGATTTTGGGGGTTATGGTACTAACAGTTAAGGAATTAGGGGCCAAAAAGGGGCCAAAAATAAGCATTTTTGTAACTTCCAGACAATAACTTGTGTGTAAGTGTATGGATCTCTCTGACATTGTACCACAAGGTTCCATATCACAAAGGGAAGGCTGTAATTGATTTTGGGGGTAATTGCCTCAAAATTTTAGGAATTAGGGGCCAAAAAAGGGGCAAAAAACAAGCATTTTTCTAGTTTCATGACAATAACTTGTGTGTAAGTGTTTGGATATTTCTGAAATTGTACTACAAGGTTCCATATCTCAAAGGGAAAGCTGGAATTGAGTTTGGGGGTAATTGCCCGAAACGTTTAGGAATTGGGGGCCAAAAAGGGGCAAAAAATAAGCATTTTTCTAGTTTCCAGACAATTACTTGTGTTCAAGTGTATGGATCTCTCTGAAATTGTACTGCAAGGTACCATACCACAAAGGGAAGGCTGGGATTGAGTTTGGGGGTGATGAATCATAAGGGGGTTCAAAAAATTTGGGGGGGGGGGGGATTTTTTTTTTTTCTTTTAAAATTTTCCATTTTAAGTTGGTTATTTCTGATTTATATTTAAAAGCAAATAATAATGATATGGTAGGAGATACACACCAAACAGGATGTGTAAATTATTATTTAATAAGTATTGTGCAATAGCAAGAAATTTTCAATTGCACAGTATTGCACAATAGCAAGAAATCTTCAATTGCACAGTATTGCGCAATAGCAAGAAATCTTCAATTGCACAGTATTGCGCAATAGCAAGAAATATCCAATAGCACAATATTGCGCAATAGCAAGAAATTGTCAATTGTACAGTATTGCGCAATAGCAAGAAATATTCAATTGCACAGTATTGTGCAAAAGAAGATACTTTGTATAAATTGCTTATTTCTTGATCAATTTCAATGGGGTTTTGTTCTTGAATTCTTGGGGTTCTTTAATATGCTGAATCTAACTGTGTATTAAGTTTTTGGATTTTGGGCCCCGTTTTTAAATTGGTCCACATTGAGGTCCAAAGGGTCCAAAATTTAACTTTGTTTGATTTCATCAAAAATTGAATTATTGGGGTTCTTTGATATGCCGAATCTAACCGTGTATTTAGATTCTTAATTTTTGGTTCTGTTTTCAAATTGGTCTACATTAAGGTCCAAAGGGTCCAAAATTAAACTTAGTTTGATTTTAACAAAAATTGAATTTTTAGGGTTCTTTGATATGCTGAATCTAAACATGTATTTAGATTTTTGATTATGGGCCCAGTTTTCAAGTTGGTCCAAATCGGGGTCCAAAATTAAACTTTGTTTGATTTCAACAAAAATTGAATATATGGGGTTCTTTGATATGCTGAATCTAACCATGTATTTAGATTTTTGATTTTTGGGCCCCGTTTTCAACTTTGTCCACATTGAGGTCAAAAGGGTCCAAAATTAAACTTTTGTTTGATTTCATCAAAAATTGAATTCTTGGGGTTCTTTGATATGCTGAATCTAACCATGTATTTAGATTTTGGATATTGGACCATAATAGGTGAATGTCCAATTTAAAATTTTTAAGTTCTTAGACCACATTCATTCTGTGTCAGAAACCTATGCTGTGTCAAATATTTAATCACAATCCAAATTCAGAGCTGTATCAAGCTTGAATGTTGTGTCCATACTTGCCCCAACTGTTCAGGGTTCGACCTCTGCGGTCGTATCAAGCTGCGCCCTGCGGAGCATTTTATATAACAATGAATTTATCTTAACTTTCCATTGAAAATATTATTCATAATTTTCATGAATGTTTATAAAAGAAGGGAAATTATGGTAGGTTTTAATATTTCAGATATCAACCTTCAATTGTCTACCTTTTTGTGCTATGACTAACTTTTCTTGTCAAAACATGTATTTTGTTCTTCAAATTTTTTAGTTTGACTTTGTAAATCTAAAAGATTTAAAAGAAAAAAAACAATGAGCAATGATACTTGGATGTTTATAAAGTTAAGTTTAATTTTAGGGAAATAGTGTAGAGGTAAATATTGATCACAGGAAAATGGACATATTTTTAGTGTAACATGAATCTTTCCTCATGACTTCTACACCTGTCATACTTTTATAGCACAGCTGACTTAAAAGAAGGCCACTTTGTCTTTAAAGAATTAGACTTAGATTCTTTTTGCCTCAGTATCGGAAATTTGGAATTTCTGATTTCCTGCACTTATTTTTCACGCATTTCAAAATACACTGTTACTGTATACATGGGTGCACTTACAAAAAAATTTTTGAGAAGACTTTCCTAGTATTTGGTCCTTAAACAAGTGTTCCAAAGTATCACAAAATATCAAGATAAGTTTTATGGACCACAATTCCCTACACTCCCAATATATCTTTTTATTGCTTCATGAATATATACTTAATCCTTTCAAGGAGAATCAGCATGTTGATGTTAAGGCTACCTCATCAATTTCATATATGTATTGCCGGTTTTATTTGATATTTTTAAAAATGAATATCAGTTGTTGAATAAGTACATTAAAATAAATTGAAACAAGAAATAAAAGTAAATGTAATTAATTTCAATCAAAAAATTGGAGATAGAATAATGGAAATTATTTAGCAAAATGCTGTGAGACACATATTTATGAAGTATTTTAGATTAACTACATGAATTGCATTTTAAAATCTTGTACAGGACTGTTACAAATTAAAATGTTCATAAAATATGCTATCTAAGGGAGATAATCAGAATAAAAATTGCCCTTTTTCAGAGGAGAGAAGAAACAATGATGCTGAAGATCAAAGAAGCAGAAAATACTCATGTGATAGCAGAACTAAAACAACGAATAGCTGAATTAGAGATTCAGGTAAGATACTCATTTTAAGACAAATCCAACGCAACCAATAGATGAATTAGAAATTCAGCTAAAATACCCACCTTAAAGCAAAATCATGATAACCAATAGCTGAAATAGAGAAACTCAAGTAGAATACTTACTTTATAGCTGAACTTAAAAAAAGGAATAGCTGAATTAGAAATTTATGTAAACTACAACACTTTTATTAGTTATTTTCATTTTTGTCGAGCTTGCGAAATTTATTTCGCGAAAAATATCCCGAAAGCGAGACATGGCGATCCTAGATTCCGTCGGTGACGTCAACATTTAGGTTCAGTCTGTGGTTAAGGTTTTTTGGACATCAATAACTTTGTCAAACATACATGGAATTTTTCCATATTTTACTAATAAATGGACTTAGTTTTTTTTACAGTTAACTTCAGATTTTGTCTAAGATTAAAGTTTTTCAGTCAGCAATAACTTTTTTAAAGCTTCATGGAAATTTATAAAATTTGGACAGAGTTAAAAAGTGAAACATAGGTATGCTGTTTCCGGCGCAGGCGGTGGCGGCGGCGGCATCAACAATGTATTAGTTTGTGATTAGGTCTAGTTTATGGTGAACCACAAATGGTAGGTCAATGATATTTGGTATGCAGTTGAACATTGGCACATCTCATTTACATGGAGATTATTTGGCCCTGCCCCTTCAGTCATGGTCTATTGACTTTGAAACTTTTGCTTAGTTTATGATTAGGTCAGTTTATGGGGAACCACTAGTGGTAGGTCAATGATATTTGGTATGCAGTTGTATAAGCATTGGCATATCTCATTTCCATCGAGATTATTTGGCTCTGCCCCCTTAGTCATGGTCTATTGACTTTGAAAATTTTGCTTAGTTTACATGTATTAGTTTGTGATTAGGTCAGTTCAAGGGGAACCATTAGTGGTAGGCCAATGTTAATTGGTATTCAGTTGTATAAGCATTAGTACATCTCATTTCCATGGAGAGTATTTGGCCCCGCCCCCTCAGTCATGGTCTATTGACTTTGAAACACTTGCTTAGTTTACATGTATTAGTTTGTGATTAGATCAGTTTAAGATGAAATGCTAATGTTAAGTCAATGATATTTGTTATTGGAATTTGCAAGTGTCATTTCCATGGAGATTAAATAGCCCCACCACCCTCATTATGGTTCATTGACTTTGAAACTTTTACATAGTTTACAAGTTAATGTTTATGTTTAGGTGTGTTTAAAGGGAACGACTTATAATAAGTCAATGGTATTTGGTATGCAGTTGTATTAACATTGGCACATCTCATTTCCATGGAGATTGTTTAGCCATGTACCTTCAGTCATAGTTCATCGACTTTGAATATTTGCATAACTTACATGTTAAAGTATTACTATTTTAATTTCAACATTTGCATTATCAAAATTACAAAAAGGCGAGACATATCTCTGTGATAACAGTTTATTTACAGTGAACATTTAAAGACAGTCTGGGATAATGATATCTTTGTAAACCTTAATGGATTGTTATGAAACTTGTACAGAAGCTCATCTTCTAGGCCAAAAAATAGCATCTAAAGAAAAAGTTTGAATTTTTTTTTTAAATTCTGTATTTTACTGCTAAATGGACTCACTTTTTAAGTCAACATTACACTTTAACACTGACAGCAGCAATTCCAGGCAAGACACAGGGTTCCACAGAACTTTTTTTTTGAATTTTTATGGTAGTAGTTTATGAAGTATAGTGTACACATAGAGCCTTGGTATGTTTTAGAGCTTGACATTTTGAAAAGACAATGGTCTATTGTTGAAGAATGACTGATTCCCTTTAGATGTCTTAGGTTGTTTATGTTGTTTGGTTGATGTCATATTGATGTATGCCCACATCTCTTTTGTTCATACATGATAGTTTTGTGATAAAAGGATACAAGCAGGGCTTCCAAAATTTCCTGACGACAGCCGGACATTTTTCAAAGAAATATTTCTGACGGTCAATGATCAGCTGGATACTTAAATGTAACTGAGAGGATGCATAAATTGATATATGTGTCTAAATAATTAGTAGTGTTATATGCAATAAAATTATTTATAACTGTTTTGTTTTCTTCATTCTAAAAATAAATAAAATATTATCCTCGGTATTGTGTCATTTTTCTGTGTATCGTAATACAGTAACCATCATTGCATCAATCAGCTTCAGTACCTGACTGTTCTCATGTTTTTGTTTCTGTTTATATAATCTATCTTCTCTCTGTGAGTACTTAACACTTTGTAAATTAAGGCCATCTTATTTGAAACTGTTGATGTTGGCTTTAATTGCAGTACAACTTGATCATCAATACACGTGATACTTTTCTTTTTGTGTATTGATTACCTGACCACGTGACTTTTACAACTGATGCGATATTTATAGATAACATTGAGGAGGCCCGATGAAGGATATTGTTTTAAACCGTGTAAAATCTACTGAACAGTGATAACATTTTTCTTTGTACAATTTCCCAACCTGATTTAGAAAATAAGGAATAAATAAAAACATACTCAGTTGATAAATAATTTAATGAATAACAACATGATATTTTATGTAAGCATATAACAACAATAAAATGTCAGAAGAGCACAATGCTGACAAACACACGCAATAAATATTACAATGAGCACATTGAAAAGAAGCACAGATCACAGCACAAGATTAGAGTTCATTTAGTCTAATTAAAGATTTTACATTCATGAGCTCGCTAAATGCATTGTTCTGATAAACATGGCGGTTACGAACGGATTGCCATTTGCGGATAGCAGGAACAGGGTCAAAGTCTTTAACATCTACACCTACTAAGCTTATCCTCATAAGTTGATCTAAAGCGTCAATACCTAGACTACACCTTAGTCGATCATAATTCCCACGGCGGGACTTAACTTTACGTCGGACATCACCTCTTTCTCTATAACATCGGAAATTGTCTGAATAAATTCGGAGCAGGCATTGTTCTCTTGATATAATTTAGAAGTGATCACGGCACCATTTAACTTAGTTAAATCATTTATTGACTGAAATTTGTCCATTGGTTTTTCCTATATATTTTAGTAAATTTTCCCCTTGAGAGTACCCCAGTATTTAACACGATGTACAGTGTTAAATAAAATAATATATATCATACTTATTCATTTATAAATATCCTTATTTGAAGAATAACTTTTAAATATCAGGATACTTATAAAACTGAATGCTCATTTAAAATAATATCTATAAAGCGTAATTAAATAGGATGTTGTTCCATACACGCTTACATGTTTGACCTCGTTTACCGGATTACCTTTATGTACATTGTTATGCATCATTAATTCTATTGATAAAGATAAGCTAAGGACACCTCATCAAAGGTAACAAACCTGTAATCAGTGAATGATTTATGGCTTCAATATAACTTATTGAAGGGATAATTGTTTGACAGCTTGTTGTTATTTAAATAAAAGAAAACGTGTTTTTTCTACTTTTTATTGATGTACACAAGCTAAAGACCAAGCCGTACATTTATGTACCCAGAGGATTAGACTAACTGAGACACCTCAAAGTATCTGAAATATGCTGCTTCTGTTTTATTAAACCCAATTATGACCGAAATATCTTTGTGAAATAGATTGCCACAATTATAAACTAAAATGCCCAAACTGACATGCCCAAAGCCCCAAACGGACATTTTTATCGATCGATAGTTGGTAAAAATTGAAATGACCGTTTCATGAAAATGCCTTGAATAACAAAATGTGGCACACCAATTCTATTTGACCGTTTGAGGCTGAGAGCAGCCGGTCTTTTTATGAAAGTTTCGGTCAAGTCCGGAATATATGACCGTTTTGGAAGCCCTGGATACAAGCATTCTTATTTGATCTCTTTTGTTCATACATGATAGTATTGTGTTAAAAGCATTCTTATTTGATCAAGGTTTTTTTTATCTTCATCGTATGTACAGCGTTCATCATTTTATTTTATTTTATTTTAAGTCAGAGGTCTGTTTGCCGCCACATATTTTTCTATTAAATACTTTACCTCTTTTCTTTCGGCCTTCAGAAAGAGGAAATATGGACAGCTGACCAGTTGGAGAATAAAAGTGGACATCAGGATCTTGAAAATCGTATATTCGACCTTCAGGATGAGGTGTGTGCTGCATGTGGTACTAGTGCACACTGACCCTAGCGTGTGGGTGTCTCTTTCTCACCTTAATACTGCCAGTACTGCCTTGTTAATTTATCAAATTATTTACAATGTGTCAAATTTAAGAAATAATCTGTTTGATAGTTATGCAGATAGAAATAGTCAACTGAATAAAAAAAAGACAACTCCATAAAAAGTCTCAAGTTTTTAAGTCATAATTTATAAAAATATCATACATGGGAAAACTTGAATACACATTTTAATTTTCAATGAATTTCCTATTGAATTATTCAGATAAAAATGAGTGGATCAGCATTAACAAAGCAGTACTACATAGTGTACTTAACATTTTATTTTTGTGGTCTTTCAAATCAATTTTACCCAATTTTAAGGTGAAATCAGATCTAAGAAGTTCAAGATGAAATAAGAAGTTTTCTTTGCTTTACATAGTGTAAAATAGAAAGAATTTTGTTAAGTTTTCTGTATTGGTAAAATCTTAAAGATTATTTGAGGCATGATTGAATTTTGTTCTTGAATTAGACCATGTTTTTGTTTTGCTTCTTACCTATGTGTTTTTCATTGTTTTTGTTTGAATCCAAGGCTTTGCATGGTTTGTTTTATGTGTGCCAACACTGCTTTTAATTTACATGAGAAGTACACATTTTCATTGAAAAAGACATTTATTCTCATTTTCCTGCTTTGATTCACTCATCCTTAAATCTACTTTGTGTTATAATTCAGTGTGATGATTTTATTAAGTAATTCAAATAGAAATGTTATTTCCTTCAATGTTCTCAAATGTATCTTAGTTTATAACAGAAATATATCCTGTACAAGTTATAATGATATCACCTTAATATATTCAGAATATTTATACAAAGAGTTAACTGTATATCATTTTAATTATTTATTATTCATTATAATAAAGTAGTATTTAATATGATTAATGATGATATTTTTTAACACAAATATTTGTTAATTTTCATTTGAGTTTCCTGATATACTTCGTTTTTCTTAATATTACATTGATATAAGTTTTAAGCTATTAATTCATCAAGCCTGCTTTATCAGCAAAACACACCAATAATAAATTAAAAAGAGGAACACATTGTTACATATGCAGTTCGCATAAGTTTAATGAAGATGTTTAAAAAAATGACTTAAAAAGAATTGTTTAGATTGAATTCAGCATATAGAAAATGAAATACTCTTTAAAAAGACGAACAATATTTGTTGATAAAACTTAGAATGACACAAATTGAATGAATACAATATATTTTAGTTTCCCATTATTTTTTACTGTATTTGAGATATTGACTTGAGTTTTATTGTGTAGTTGCATGTTGATGAGCTTCAGGCTGATTGTGTGTTTGTTCCAGTTGACTAACTTCTGCTGGACCCCTGGATAGTCAAAGTATAATTTTTATTTTATTTTTTTTTTTGAATGTGAAAAAGATATAGCAGAATTATATTCAAAGTTAATTTTATCACCCAGGAAACTGACTGATATTTACTGAATCAGCAGATTTTATCTTATATATTAAAATATATAATTAAAAACTGACAATTGGCTGTTTTAAAATTATAAGGATTGTGGGTAATTTTATTGTTCTCACACCAACATAAAAAATATTACATCATTGCTTGGATATCTTTATTTCCTTTGTTAATGGGAGTTAATCAAAGTCATGATTTCAAGCAAATATTACAATCCTGCACAATGCCTTTATATGTGTTTATGCCTAAGACTTTCAGGAGTAAAAGGTTTGAAGGAATGATAGGTCACGCTTTTAAAGTTATTATTTTCCAAATCCTTTCACTGGGCTTGCAAGTATTCTTCTTGTATTTTCTGTTGGATAAAGATGAGATACAGATCATGTTTGAATATTCTTTCTGGTTCTCTTATTTTGGACAGAGACAATGTTGAATGAAATGACTTATTATTTGTAGATTTCTTTTTTTGGTCCAAGAATGTTTGTTATAATTTAAATTAGCATGAAGTTTTTTAATTGAGCACTGCATAATGTTTAGCAAAAATATTAGTTCAGATTGAAATAATGCTAACAATTATTTTGATATCTTCCTATCCTTAATGATAAATGTATGTAATATTTGATAATTTGCATTTTTCTATTTACCATATTCAAATGCATATTTATGTATGATTGCTAACTACATGCTGTGAAGTGTATTGTATTTTCTGACGAAACTGGATAATTCTATATTAGAGTTTAATTGATTACTTTTATGTTATCAGGTTCTACAACTGAAATTTTTCCAGAATTCACCAAAGTCCACCTCATACAATGGTGTACAAGTGAGTGATAGCGAGTCAGAAGAAGATTTTGAAGAGTTAGAAAATCCTGAGAGTTTAAATAAAACATTATCAGACATAATAGAAGGGAAGAACAAAGCCTGTGATTTATCTTTAAATACTCATCATCTTGGTGCTGAATCAGAACTAATAAATGGACAGTCTGTAACTTCTGGTTTTAAAGAGTGCTTGACAAGGGAGACAAGTCTTCAGAATTCGAGTTCTCCAATAGTTTTAGTAACTCAGGATTCAGAAGTGTGTTCAAATGAGGAAGAAACTCAGTGCAATGGAAATTTATATGAAAACCATTCAGATTTAAGTGCCAATTCTTTTCCTGTAAATAAACAAGAAATTTGTAGAGAAATTGAAAGTACTTTGGAAAATCCCTCCAAGAACTGTACAATAGATTCCATTTCAACCAATGCAGAATCAAGTTTACTAGATGAAATTTCATCAAGTTTACATGCCATTTCATTACAGAACCAGGAAACAGATGAAAATACAAATTAACATGAAAACCTGCCTAAAACATATCCTAATATAATTACTTGTTTCTTATACATTGAGTAACCACATTAAATAAACACATCATTTCCACCAATCAGAATCTGTCTATTATGTAAAGTATCAGATGAAACATGGATATAGGAACACTTACCTGTAAGGAAATTTAAACAAAAACTGAATTAAAAATGAGTAAATTAAAGATAATGAGTTAATTTTAGATCATGTAATGAAGAAGTGTGTGGAATAAGGATTTACCAGGGAAATCATTCTTCTTCCATTATTTTTCATTTTGTCTTAAAAAATAGTATGAACAGTACTGATTTAAAAGTTGTCAAATCATTTTGAACTCTTCAATTGATAAGTCATATTTGAATTAAATTTATGTTGAAAATGTTGCAGTATGTGAAGCAAGAATTGAAATGCTATCTTTAATGCTATACTTAGTCATACTTAGTTATATCTGTAAACACCATGAAAAGACAATATATTTTCAGTAAAAGTTTCCTGATAGTGTTTGTATACAATTTGTTTACATCGTTAAGAAATCCAAATTTTGGTGATCATTTTCCAAAAATAAACCATTTCATTTGTTTTGATAAAAACATTTTTTTTTTTTAAATTTAGATATTAAATATTTATGAAAGGTACTAATTCGTGTAAAGAAATATACTTATCAAATTTTGAAATGACAGTGTGCTTGGTATCCTATTTACAATACCTTTTCTACCCCATATTAAATCTTCTTTTTTTTTGCATTTGTAACGAAAGGCATTTAAAAGCTAATGAAGTGCAAGGAATTTTGCCACCACACATGATATCAATTACTTCGTACTTTGCCATGGGTTCCAATAACTGACAGTGCATCATTTCCTTGTGGAATGTCAGCTGACTTTATTTTGTGCAATACTCTTCATTACTTCAATAAAACTGATCAGAGAAAGTCTGTTTTTTTTTTAAGTGTTCTCCAATACATGAAGCTGACATGACAGTGATAAAACTGTGAACAGAGACAAAATGATTGATATCATGTTTATATTTTTGTCATGCAACCTCAAATTTTAGTTAAGGCAAGCTGATGTGTATCCAGTCTACATTTTAGTTGAGGCAAGCTGATGTGTATCCATTCTACATTTTTTATTGCATGATATTTTTCAATTTAATTTCATTTGTAAATCCCTCAAAATGTTTTTATTATCTATATCATTAGAAGACTATGACCTGTTAAGATCTGTTTTCAAACAGATACTTATTTATAATAGAAAAGAAAGGATGCTTCTTAAATAAATGTTTAATTTTTGTTAACAGTCTCAAATACTATACCCTGTCTAGTCATCATTTTGATGTATATACATGAACTAATAAGATGAAGGTACCAGGATGAAGAAACAAAATGGTCTATATTTTATATTTTGGCTACATTGTTATAAACATATAGCTGTCAGCATATTTGGAGAAGATCTTCTAATTAAGTTCAAGCTGTGGTAAGAGTCAAATAGGCGACCTGTAATTTTCTGATTCTGAAAAGCTGATATCCGAGATATTTATTAAAGGAAATGAAAATTAGATTTGACCTGTTTTTGTTCTCAATCTAGATCTTATATGCAGTAATTGACATAGGATATATAGAGAAATCTTTTATCTTTAAATATATGTTAAGGAATTGTTTAGGTATAATAACATTGTGCCTGGAGGTTCAGAAAAGCTGATATACTATGGTCATGGAAAATATAGAGATAATTGGGGTATCTGAAGATGTTCATTTTACAGAAAGATTCAGGGCTATTAAATTTCGTAGAAATGCTTGACCTGTTTTTTGTCTCACAAAAATTCCAATGTCCTACAATGAAGCTAAGACATCAAGTGAACAATTTAGATAGTATGGGAGTCGTTCCCATCTTTGATGGTAAAATAGCAGAACAGAATAGGTCTAGATTTTCAATCAAGTCAGCAAATTTCGATGCAAGAATGCAATTTACTAATAAGAATTTTCATTTAAATGAACACAATTATGTTATTTTATCTTATTATTACTAATATTTTGACAAAGATTGAATATTTTTGCTTGATTTCAATTTTTGTAAAATTAGTGTATTGAGTTATCAGGGGAGGTAACTCATAAATTGTATTATTTAAAAAGAAACCTACAGATAATTCATCCTTTTTATGTTATAGAAGAATAAAACTTTAATATGGCGACCCATTTTTACTTTGATATTCTGAAAGCATTTTATAATAGCGATCTTCTCATATTGTAATTAAAAATTCTATCATTTAGTTTATCTGCTATTCACATTATGATGCTTTTTCTCTGTATAATCCTTACAAAATATGTCACTTTTTCACAACCTGCAGCTTGAAAACAAGCTTGATGACCTCTCATTATTATTACATTTTTGAACATATCACAATATATATTACATTTTGGCAAAGCATGAAAAAATTCTATCATTTTTGTTTTCTTCTCCCATACTACTTTAATAGCTGTAAGTTACCTCCACTTGACCATAAGAATGGCATATATAAGAAAAAAATGAAGTCCTACAGAAACTATCCTTTCAGCACTATAAATATTTACTAATTGATATCTTCATCATAATTGCAAAAATAAACATATCTGAATCCAAACAGCTTTATCATTCTTATGCAATTATCATTTATTATAATGAACATGAATATGGTAGAATGTAGCACCTTTGTAGTAGACCATGAGAAATATTACCCCATATGTTAATTTGTACACATGTCAATTTAATTGTTAAATTCATTATTGTGCCAAATGTTAATGTTTTGTTATCATTAAAGGTAGAATATATTTATTATAAGTTTGTAGTGGTTATTATTTTTTGAATTCTAAGATGTTTACTTAATAAGGTTTACTTATGAAAACAAGATTCTGAAACATCTAAGTATATCTATCCAGTTAAATACAAAATATGTCTATCTATTTTCTATCACAGAAGGCTAGATAATTGTCATGTTACGTGAATCGGCTGCATTACATGACAAATCATAATTAAATCCATTTAAGAATCAGTGCTGTTTATTGTTATGTCAGCTGCAGTAAATTGATAAATGATTAAAACATTATATTTTCCTGTAATGAAGAATAAATTTAAAATATCTTGTATTATATATTATATGACCTTCCATAAAATTATCTGTTAACAAGAAGAAATATGGTATAAGTATTTTTTTATATATAAATTTCTGACCAATTTTCTCCCATTCATTAACTTGACAGCTCTACTTCAGCCACATACCCCTGTGAAATATCTCCTAGAACTAAGTAGATTTCTGTGATTTAATTACTGTTCATCACTAAGTAAGTTATTTAGAGTTCTCTGATATAAATATTTTTTCTATTATGAACTTTTAATATATCTCCATACTTATAGATTATCGTTGATCATCTCAACGAGATTGATTTTCTCGCTTGAATCGGTACAGCAAAAGTGAGAAAAGCAATCGAGTTGAGATGACCAATGATAATCTGTTTATCGCTATTTTACCTATGACGACTTTGTCAATTTCATTGACAATGCCACATGCCCCCTTAGTTTCTAGCGATAATTTTTCGTATCACTCGACTCCGCTGAGAAAGGAAATTATCAGTCAGCAGGATCAAAGGAAAATTTCGTAAAATAGCGATAATTTGATTTATTTGTGTTTATAAATCCTGGTGTATTTGGTTACTTAATTGATAGTTTTATTCATTCTATTGATACTAAGATGTCATTGGTTGGCTATCTAATTGACATATACTCCTATCACCTTTAATCATTAATAACCCCCATTATTAAGATTAAAATTCTTTTTACATTTTTTTCTTATGTTATTAATTTTTTACTGTTCTGATAAATTTTTTCTTGCTTTTCCCTCCTGTGTTCTATGTATGAATTCTTGTCTTTTAATGGAAAAGATATTAGAAAATGACTTTCAGACAGTTTAAAAAAATAGGAATGTTCAGAATGATTTTTTAAGTATTCAACAGTAAATGTGATTTTAAGTCTTCAAAGTATTTGTTTAACACATGAGAACATTTTATTTTACTTTTTTAATCTCGAAAGATAAAACGTTCAAGTTTTTGAATTATACCATTTTTCAAATTTTATAATAAAAAAACAGCAAGTTCATGTACCAAATTTGATCATAAGGACTAGTTATGTATGTTTTTATAATTGTAAGTAAAAAATCTGTATTGCTATAATAATACTTTCATTTTGACAAATTAAGGAGCCAAGAAATGGCATGCTACCTCCTGCTTGTTTCCATTAGTAACATAATAACATACTTGTAAGAGCCTATTAGTTTACATCATCTATCTTGTCTTGTTTTATTGTTATGTTGCTGTCATGTCAAAGTTTATATGTGTTTGTGTTAAATGTTATTTACAATGATTAAAAATATTTTCAATATTTTAACAACTTTTTCCAATTACTGATTTTATTACAGTCAATTATAATTTCTAAATAAAAATGAAATACACACATACACTCAAAAGTTAGAAAGCATCAAATTGCAATCTTGAACTTCAACCTTTGGGTAGTTTTTTTCACAAAAGATCTATCAATTACAATTAACTGTAAGTTATGCTGAAATATTCGTGAAAATTTAATATCAAAGACCTAAAGGATAATTACTGACAAGTTTTATACAGGAAATAAATTTCATAATTGGACATGCAAAGAAATGGCAAGCTAGTGTCATTAAGAAAGCAAGCAAGGATTGATCAACTTGACAATAATTTGTCCTGGCTGGCTTACATGTGTTCTTGTTGACAATTACCTTGTGAGCTGGCCTGTTACTACTCAAATAACCAAGTCCAATTTGTTAGCCGGCATGACGTAAAAACAACGAACCAAAGAATTCAATTTTAAATATAAATAATATAAAACTATGGTGTTAATTAAAAATTACAAATATGTATGTCTTCTTCTTCTCTTAGTAAACTCATCCGATATCGCGAGTGTGTTCTAGCATTAATTATTTGAACATGTTATTTTCTTGTATTAGCTTGTTTAATTTGGCTCGGACAGTTAATCACCCACTAGTTAATCAGTTAAACTTTGTAGCATCTCCGGGCCTTGGTGGCTGAGTGGTCAAAGTAGTTAATCTACAATATAACTAGCCTGTTAAAACTGAGGTTATGAGTTTGAACCTCACAAGTGGCATGCCTAGGTGCATTAGACTCAGACTTACCTTACTAGGGCTGCTAGTTTTTCAACTGAATGCTGATGATTCTCTGGCAGCACTGACATTCCTCCTCCAATAAAAACTGGTTGTTGTGATGTCACTAAGAGCTCAGAAAGTGGGGTTTAACACCAACAGCCAATCAATTTGTATCATTTGTTAGCCCTGCTGGCCCTATGAATGTTGGCTATAATCATCACTTGGGTCTGTTCTTGCCTGTCATCTGTTGTATATTATCATCTGTCATCATACATGTCATAAGCTTTGTAAAAATATCTTCACCTGAAACCATTCACCATCTTGGCGGAATGATACTAGTAATTAGGATATGTTGTATAAAGTTTGCATATTTTGTCCATACAAATCAACCAACATGGCTGTCATTGCCAAAAAAAGAAGGTAAGGGTAAAATGCATGTAATTACCCAATATCTTGAAAACTATAAAAGAGAAAATCTGATGGCACAAAAAATTGAAGAACGTCCAATCTTTCACTTTCCAAGTCCACCAACTGTTCTAGAAGACATGTTGGAGTATTTGCCCTTAAATGTGTTTTTTAACTTATTGATGACCTTTTGTTTGTGGATTGAAAAACTTGAATAGAAAGCAGAAACTTATAACAACTAATATGATCAGGAATTCAAGATTCGCAAAACTCTTAATATAGCCTATCAAACCAATCAATTGCTTTTAAGATTTATTATCCTTTATTGTCTGGCTTGCAATACTAATTTGGAAAAAAAATAGTTGCGTTTTTTTTTTTGGCATGTGTGGCATCAACAATTGTTAAAGTTATGTTACACAGGTATATCTCTGAACTTACATTGGATAACAATTTAATTATTTTAGTTGTTTTTATACGACCGCAAAAAAATTTTGTGGTCGTATATTGGTATGACGTTGGCGTCGTCGTCGTTGTCGTCCGAAGACACATTGGTTTTCGCACTCTAACTTTAGTTTAAGTGAATGGATCTTTTTGAAATTTTACCATAAGGTTAAATACCACAAAAGGAAGGTTGGGATTGATTTTGGGGGTTATGGTACCAACAGTTAAGGAATTAGGGGCCAAAAAGGGGCCAAAAATAAGCATTTTCTAGTTTCCAGACAATAACTGTGGAACGGTGTATGGATCTCTTTGAAATTATACTACAAGTTTCCATACCACAAAGGGATGGTTAGGATTTGCTTTGGGGGGTTATGGCTCAAACCGTTTAGGAATTAGGGGCAAAAAAGGGGGAAAAACAAGGTTGTCCTGGTTAATGGACAAATACTTTAGTACAAAACATAATTTAAAGCAGTGTAAGGGAGATAAATCAAATACATCATTGAAATTATCTCCCTTACACTGCTTTTAAATTATGTATAAAGTAATGGTTAATGAACAATAAAGATAATTTAAAACAGTGTAAGGGAGGTAATCCAAATACAACGTTTTGGTTACTTCCCTTACACTGCTTTTAAATTATGTTTAAAGAAATGCATATTTATAAAGGAAGACCAGTAAAAATATCTGCAAATGTTGCATCATTTTTTTTTACAAAAAAATCCATATGAAAGATTTGACACTATATTTTTAATTCTATTATAAAATAGATTAAGTTAGCACTATGGTAAATTTAAATGGGTAATTATGGTTGCCAACTCCATTGGAAATTTGAATTGAGATTATGACCATATCTTGAAGGAAAGAATTTTTGGGGGGAAAAAAGGGGGGGGGATAAAAAGAAATTGTGGGGGGTCAATTTTTTCTCAATTCAGATTTCAGAAATTAAAAAGAATTATTCTTCAAATATTATTTTTTTTTTCAAATTTCAAATATTGAAAAATTTCAAGAAGTAATCTTTAATTGCACAGTATGGCGCATTAGATTTGTAAAATCTTTGATCACATTTATTTATTTGTTATGCCGAATCTAACAGTGTATTTAGAGTTTTAATTTTGGGTCCAGTTTTCAAAATGGTCTACATTAAGGTCCAAAGGGTCCAAAATTAAACTTTGTTTGATTTTAGCAAAAATTGAATATATGAGGTTCTTTGATATGCTGAATCTAAACATGTATTTAGATTTTAGATTTTTGGCCCAGTTTTCAAGTTGGTCCAAATTGGGGTCCAAAATTAAACTTTGTTTGATTTCAACAAAAATTGAATATATGGGGTTCTTTGATATGCTGAATCTAACCATGTATTTAGATTTTTTATTTGTGGACCCCGTTATCAAATTGGTTCATATTGAGGTCAAAAGGGTCCAAAATTAAACTTTGTTTGATTTCATCTAAAATTGAATTATTGGGGCTCTTTGATATTCCAAATCTAACCGTGTATTTAGATTTTTAATTTTGGGTCCTGTTATTTAAATTGGTCTACATTAAGGTCCAAAGGGTCCAAAATTAAACTTAGTTTGATTTTAACAAAAATTGAATTCTTGGGGTTCTTTGATATGCTGAATCTAAACATGTGTTTAGATTTTTGATTATGGGCCCAGTTTTCAAGTTGGTCCATGATAGGGTCCAGTATTTAAACTTTGTTTGATTTCAACAAAAATTGAATATATGGGGTTCTTTGATATGCTGAATCTAAACATGTATTTAGATTTTTGATTATGGGCCCAGTTTTCAAGTTGGTCCAAATTGGGGTCCAAAATTAAACTTTGTTTGATTTCAACAAAAATTGAATATATGAGGTTCTTTGATATTCCAAATCTAACCATGTATTTAGATTTTTTATTTGTAGGCCCCGCTATCAAATTGGTTCATATTGAGGTCAAAAGGGTCCAAAATTAAACTTTGTTTTATTTCATCAAAAATTGAATTATTGGGGTTCTTTGATATGCCAAATCTAACCATGTTTTTAGATGTTTAATTTGGGTCCTGTTTTTTAAATTGGTCTTCATTGAGGTCCAAAGGGTCCAAAATTAAACTTAGTTTGATTTTAACAAAAATTGAATTCTTGGGGTTCTTTGATATGCTGAATCTAAACATGTGTTTAGATTTTTGATTATGGCCCAGTTTTCAAGTTGGTCCAAATTGGGGTCCAAAATTAAACTTTTTTTGATTTCAACAAAAATTGAATATATGGGGTTCTTTGATATGCTGAATCTAACCATGAATTTAGATTTTTTATTTGTGGGCCCGCTATCAAATTGGTTCATATTGAGGTCAAAAGGGTCCAAAATTAAACTTTGTTTGATTTCATCAAAAATTGAATTATTGGGGTTCTTTGATATTCCAAATCTAACCGTGTATTTAGATTTTTAATATTAAGTCCCGTTTTTTTAATTGGTCTACATTAAGGTCCAAAGGGTCCAAAATTAAACTTAGTTTGATTTTAACAAAAATTGAATTCTTGGGGTTCTTTGATATGCTGAATCTAAACATGTGTTTAGATTTTTGATTATGGGCCCAGTTTTCAAGTTGGTCCATGATAGGGTCCAATATTTAAACTTTGTTTGATTTCAACAAAAATTGAATATATGGGGTTCTTTGATATGCTGAATCTAAACATGTATTTAGATTTTTGATTATGGGCCCAGTTTTCAAGTTGGTCCAAATTGGGGTCCAAAATTAAACTTTGTTTGATTTCAACAAAAATTGAATATATGAGGTTCTTTGATATTCCAAATCTAACCATGTATTTAGATTTTTTATTTGTAGGCCCCGCTATCAAATTGGTTCATATTGAGGTCAAAAGGGTCCAAAATTAAACTTTGTTTTATTTCATCAAAAATTGAATTATTGGGGTTCTTTGATATGCCAAATCTAACCATGTTTTTAGATGTTTAATTTGGGTCCTGTTTTTTAAATTGGTCTTCATTGAGGTCCAAAGGGTCCAAAATTAAACTTAGTTTGATTTTAACAAAAATTGAATTCTTGGGGTTCTTTGATATGCTGAATCTAAACATGTGTTTAGATTTTTGATTATGGCCCAGTTTTCAAGTTGGTCCAAATTGGGGTCCAAAATTAAACTTTTTTTGATTTCAACAAAAATTGAATATATGGGGTTCTTTGATATGCTGAATCTAACCATGAATTTAGATTTTTTATTTGTGGGCCCCGCTATCAAATTGGTTCATATTGAGGTCAAAAGGGTCCAAAATTAAACTTTGTTTGATTTCATCAAAAATTGAATTATTGGGGTTCTTTGATATTCCAAATCTAACCGTGTATTTAGATTTTTAATTTTAAGTCCCGTTTTTTGAATTGGTCTACATTAAGGTCCAAAGGGTCCAAAATTAAACTT